TGACTGAGAATGATATTTTAGTGATACAACATTTTACAACTTTTAGTGATAACAGAACACAAACGTGTTGCCAACTCACAAATTCAGCCTCTTATTCATCGTCCATGTAGATGTTCCACAGGGCAAATTTTGACATCAGCGATTAAAGGCGAGCTTTTCCAGCTTCTTTCTCAGGAAGGGAATTTCTCATGGTTCCATAAATATTAATTGAATGGACCTAGGCTGCAGGAATAACTTATGCAAATTCATAAATTGAGGGCTATTCACCTCAAAGCAATTTGTTGATGAGGTAAGTAGGGATTCAGGCCCCAGTGCGCTAAGAGCAGAACAGAGGGAAGGGCTCTCTGTGATTCTGTGGTGCCTCGGACACACAAGTGCACACCGCCACACACAGTTCCCTTTCTGGTGGATGGCTGGTGATCCTGGACACAGGATTGCAGAGCAGATAGACTCTGCATCTACAATTAGGAGCCAACTGAGTCACACGGTTTTTTCCAGAGGGAGAGATTTGTATAAAGATTTGTTTATTTGTTGTTTTTTGGGTAAGTGGGATTTTTTGTTTGTGGCGTGTCAGTTATTCTGTAGGGTCACCACTTTGCCCCAAACTACTGAATGGATTGTCTTGAAATTTGAAAGAGAAATGAATCCTCCTCACAGGATTAATGGCTTTGGCAGACTTACGAGTCTTCTTGCATCGCAGTGTTTGTATTTGTGGTTCTGAGTGAACCGCATGCAATCGAATTCGCTGCATATATTCAGGATCCCCGAAGGACTTTGAATTCCACGGCTATTAATTGGACACTATTGTTAATGTTTCATTATGTTGATCCTTCTTATTTTCAAATCAACCATTTCTAACATTTTTTAATCAGCCACTGTTGGTCCGTAATGCAAAATAAATAAACAAGGTTTAGAAGTTGTAATGGGTTGTGTACCCAAAAATTTGTAACTGGTAGTTTAATAGGGACTGTCAAGCTACACTATATTTGTTAGTGCACACATGCCATTCAGTGTCTCGTTTGATGAAGCAAACAATCTTCTACCAGCTTAGAGTGAGATTTCTTATTTTTTTTCTTCTTGCCAATACAGCTTTAGAAAAAATATTAAAAGTCATGCAAACTTTTATTTTACCTGCTTTATTTTTGATGCAGTTAATCATTTTTCTAAGCAATATTTTTTTCCATTTTCTCTTTTTTTTCTAGGCGGAGGGTGTTTCATTTTAGGTTAATGCACCGTGTCCCCAGCTGAGCCTTGCAATTTGAGGCCCAGCTTAACAGACTGTGTTTCTTTTGGATTCTCTCCTCAGTAAAAGCCACCAATATGTTGGTCTAAAAACTGAAAATATGACCATGGAAGACTATACTGTGTTTGTATTTAACTTTGAGGATACATAAGACTGTTGTAGGGTGTTCAAAATATGTTAAGTGCATCCTATCTGGTTGTTATATTTGAACTGAGACTTACTAGGATTCTAACACTGCCAAATATTCAGGAAAAAGTTGAAATATTATATGTGGGAATCGGTAGTGAAAAAAGAAAGAAGGAAAAAAAGAACAGGTGTGCTCAGATCGTACAGGATTTCACATCGGGAGGTGCTCCCTGTGAAAAGTCAGACTTGTCAAAATTATTGATGAACCAGTCAGAAACCATTTCTACAGGTGATGCTGCTGATTTGTTTCAGCAGCACCTGCAAGGAAAAAAAGATTCTGACACTCAGCGTGGTGTTACCTGAATGTGCTGGTAAACATTATCACTCAGTGCTATCCCCATTATTTCACTGAAATTCAAGCCACCGGTGCACCTGTTCATACGATCTACCAAGGACGAGTCCTGTGTGACTCAATTGATGCCAAGCATTTCCAACAGTAGCCTTTAAAAACACACACGCACTCAATTGATTTCTTAACAAAGTATCTATTAATACATTGCCCGTACAGTTTTCCGTCTCTTCCTTGGTCTCCTTCACATTTGATAGTCTCTCTGGCCCCGCGTCCACCTCTCAAGTTATTTGCTGCAGTCGACATCCATCTTCCCAGCAAGCGATGGGTGTTGGAGAAAAGTTCCTCCCGCAGATCAAATGGTCGGAAATCAAGATGCTTCCTCAGCATGTTTCCTGGCTGGTGACTTTGAAGGAGATTGGCCCTCTCGCTGTGCTCACAGAAGTACCTCAGTTTCCCAAAACAACAAGAAGAACAGTTTGATTGCACCCAATACTGCGACAATAAAGCAGGTTGTCTGAATGAAAGCCAGTCACAGTTTAGTTATGTAAGAGAACTAGAGTGTTGCAGCATCTTACCCTCTCACTTCCCTCTCCTGCTGTGAGTGTCTGTCTCAATACATGGTCTTACACTTTCATCAAACTCTCTGTGTGTGTCTCTCTTCCTCCATCTTCTTCTAACACACAAAGCTGCATCTGTGTCCTTCCTGCTTTGTATTAGTGTCGGAGAAGTTACGACTTTTCCAGTGTGTCTCGCGTGCTTGTCTGAAGTGGAAGCTTTTCGCCAAAATAGAAATCCTGCCTGCTGTTTTCTTAAATACAGTAACGGTTTGTGTCCAGGCACTTTGGAGCATTAATGAACAGCGCTCCCCAAGGAAACCTGCCACAGCAACGGGGTTGCTAACTATTGATTGAAATGACTCTGTCTGGCCTGTATCGGTGCTGTGTTTACATAAAAACCACCCATGGCAGCGTAGTCACTGAAAACAAAATTTAAACTGAAATATTGGAAGTTAAACTGTTGTTGTTTTCACCCTGCATCGGATTCAACTATTGTGCACTCCCACTGGTCTTTTGTGCTTAAGTGGCTTGATTGTTTCTGTGCCACTATTTGGTTATTTGTTTATCTATTTCTACAAGCCCACGCAGTTATTTTTTTTTTTGTGTGTGTATTTCACAGCAATGCACCTTTTCGGCCTCAATTGGCAGCTCCAAGAGTTGGACAACCAGCCGGCTTTTGAAAATGGAGGAGTTGGGAAAACAGGGCCCACTCAGTCGAGTGTAGGGACAGCTCTCTCTGCTGATGGTGAGGAAATAAGAATGACATGTAATGCACAATATTAATATTATTTATTCTTTTGTTGGCTTCACTGGATTTTTAGTTTGGATTGTATATAAAATATATTGTGTGGGTTTTAAATATTCTGAATACTAAACAGTTTAAATGAAAGGGGAGGTGTTGATTAGTTATTGGCCAATGAATGAAAAACTTTCATCTAAAGTCAAGGGTTTCTTTAGTCGACGCATTTGAAATTTAATGTCAGAACAAAAAGCAGAATGAGTTTTAACGGCACGCAAATTAATTAAATCAAGCAAAGGTCTAAATGGCAATAAAGACAAATTGCGGCAGCAAAACATTTGGCTTCCACATTCAGCTCAATGCCCAGACTTTCAAATTTATTGAGATCTTTCACCTTCTGAATATTAATTAACTGATTCCAGACAGCTTTCTACTCTCTAATCATAATCTCGGACCATTGTGTATTCATCAACAAGCAGGCCGGCCATTGCAGCTCACCTTTACAGCAAAAGCCACCAAATTAATCTCTAAGCGCACACGGTATTTAGAATGCATGGCCATGAAAACAATAATTGAGTTGAGTAGGCCAGGCAAAAGCTCAGTTGTTTAAACTCAACTAGATTTAAATCCTCATAAGTACTGCTAATTAAGATAGCATGAGACAGGTTTTGGACTGTTTAAAGGCAATCAATAGCCAGCTATTATTCTCCCTGGAGGTAAACTTGGCTTCCAGTCTTCACTTTGACTGAAGCTGAAGTGACAGGCAATGGCCTCATTACACGCATAACACCGAGGCATGCAAATAACTGGGGTCTGCCACAAACAGATATAGACACAGCTACAGTATATCTGTGTCCACACTCTATAATGCGTAAGAACAGAAGAAGCAGTAAAGGTATGCGAGTGTATCACCCAGCTGCATTCCCTCCTCGGCAGAGCCTTAGATGGTAGGGGTTTAAAAATGCTTTATAGCTTTTTCTTCTTAACAATAAAAATGTATTCTTATAATAGCACCTCGCAAGCTACGTTTTTTTAATTGAGTATGAGTTATATTTAAACCCACCGTTTCTCCATCTTTGCCACTCGGAGGGCACAGTTTAAAGACATCATTCTCCAAATTGTTTTGATTTGCTGTTATTGGTCTGGCAAGGTAGCGCTCGGTATATGTGACAGATTCCATTTAGACCTTATCTGATATGAAGGCTTAGTCTATGAGTCACCGGGACCAAAGTAAAAATGGAAGACTTGGCCTCTTAGTCTTATAAAAGGGCAATTATATCTGGTCATTTTGTTGTTGAGCAGTGCATCATGGACTACAGGGAACCATTACGTTTAATACTCCCTTGCTCAATCACAATTCATTTGGAAAAGATATGACTATTATGCCCCTGTGCATGAATGAAACAATTCAATGCTGCAAAGCAAAAGATATATGAAAAATGAGAGGATAGCTGAAGATTCTGTGATGACTTATTTGCAGTGTTGGTCAAATGGTTTAAAAAAAAATGTGTTTTTTCCAGTTGTTGTTGGAACTTGCACAATGTAACTTCTCATTGTGTCCAGCCAATGCCAAACCAGCTCAATGGGGTTTAAATATGGGGACTTTGCTGCCCTTCCATCGTTGTCCACTTTTCTTCTTCCAATATTTTGGCTCATTATCGTGCTCTAGGATGACCAACCAGTCGGTCTTCCTTTTTTCCACCATTTTGATAGCATTATCCTGTTCTAGTTCCTGCAGCAGAGTGTAATAATCAGAAGGTGTAGTAACAAAGTCGGTTCTGATACGGGCTTTGCACAGAAACAAAGGCTGTGTGAGCGATCATTAAAAGTTGAGGCACCTATAGGAACTGTTTGCATTAACTTTCAGTACTTATTTCCATTGTTGTGAGAAAGCTGTTAATCCTTTTTCTTAATGCTTGAATATGTCTGCTTTTATTAAACTCAGATGATTTAACTTATTAAAGTTTTTCTTATTGTCTTTTTTTCTTACTTTCCAGTGACTTAAACTGTTATTATAATTATTGTTTTATTTATTTATATATTCATTCTTTGGGTAGTTTAGTTACTAGTTTTTGTATGATTTATTTGCTGGAATTCATACTTATTTTTGGAGTTATTCTAAAACTTTTGGATGGTTGTGTTCAGTCAATATCACCTTAACTCTATGGTTTCGGGTTTGTTTCTCTCTTATAGGACGGACTAGCGTGCTTCATCCAGAAAACAACTCCATCGATACTGGGCAGGTGGACATAGGGAAGCGAGTGGGTCAGAGCATTCCACCGGGTGTGTTCTGGCACTCTCAAATAAACATGGAGGAACCAGGCTTTCTTAAGTTCAACATTTCAGTACAGAAAAATGCACTGATTGGAGTCTATGGACGAAAGGGCCTCGCACCATCTCACACTCAGGTAAAGGCTTTGATGTAACGTCTTTAAAATTAGGATAGTGTGAAATTGAGTCAAGAAAACCAAAACACGTCGTCTTATATTTGAAAAGTCTGATTGATAAGCGGTGAAAGCATCTTGCTAGAGAATGTGCTTACTGGGGATAAC